TAGAATTCCAAAGATAGAGTTAGGCATAGAAGAGGAAAAAAAGAAGCGCATTTCGAAAAGCATAGAGAAAAACGACGTCGTGTGACCTCCAACCAGTGGCGGATCTAGGGTTGGGCCACCTCGGGCCACGACCCAGTCCTCCTCCGATCTAGAGCTAGTATAGTACGTATGAATTTTTCGATTTTAGCTGTTCATCGCAGTAATATTTTAAAGTCGGTTTAATGTTATTTGATAATATGATTTTGTGTGACTTGAAAAATAGTCTAGATGAATATATCCAAACCACTATTCCAAATTTAGACTAAAAATTCAAGCCCCAATAATTTTCATTCGAAAGGAATAAAATAAACAATGGAACCTAAAAGTGTAAAAGACTAAAAGAGTAAAGTTTCATTGAAATGAAAAAAAACCTCCAAGCTAAATCTCTCACTTCTCTGTCAGAACTCCAAAAATTCCTCCAATCCCCAAAATCAAAATTAGAACCAGGAGATGAAGGGACCTGAAACGAATTCCTCCGCTAGTTCGTCGGGCGCTGATTTCTTTCCAGTCTTTTGATGAAGAAAATATTTACAAACTTGTTGATTCATCATTTAAATTGCTTGAGTTGAGTGGTACACTAGATCCTAAAAATTCTATCCGGTCTTTTGATGAAGAAAATGTTTACAAACTTGCTCAAGAGTTTATCCTCGAGATTTTGAAGGTTATTATATGCATTCTTTGAAGAATGATCTACGATAGTATGCCGCTCATGTGGTTCATAGTCATGAATATGAAGTTTCTTCCCTTGCAAAATTACTAGAGAAGCTAGTGGAAACAGTGATGGATACACAATACAAATTGATTTGTCGGTTTATTCGTCTATTGTTGACCTAGCTCGTTTGGACTGCTACTACGGAGACAACATTTTCTGCAATGAAAACATGTGAAAACTTATCTACGCAACAAAATGAGCGATTAATTTCTCGTTAATTGCTTAACTATTTTCTTTAAATTAGAGTATATTATTGATATGGATGAAGACTCCATGATTTGATGAATTCGCTAAACTAAAAGACCGTCATGTACAATTGACATTGTAATGAAAACTATATAGTCGTCATTTATTTTTTGTTTACCGTGTCTAATTTTTTATTCAAATTCGGTCCAGTACTCTACTATGTCCTGTATCCGCCGCTGCCTCCAACCCGATAACCTTATGACAGGTCGACTCGCAAGTTGTGTGACTGGTATTTCTCAGTAGGTTAGAGGTATAGTATTTTCTTTCATAAAAGTCCAAAACATGTTTGATTTTCCACTCAAATTTTTGCCATGTTTCATAAGGGGCAAAAAGGAATTGGACTACCAAGTTCCACGTCCATTTCTGAGAACTTGGGCCTAGTACATTCGAGCTCAATGATTTTTGTGAGTTCTTTGCCATTCTGCAATTACATATGTTTTTGGCCAATATTACGGTGCCATTATTAAATGTATACTTTTCGAGAGAAAAAAAAGGATGAGTTGTGATGATCATTTCTTGTCCTTTGATCATAAATTTACGAATTTGATTTCTACTTATATAAACTAGTTTTTTACCCGTTCGTTGGGCGGTGTATTTTGTTTGGTTGTTTTTATAATTCGTTATAGTATTGTAATTGTTATTATTATTTATGTTTGCTAAGGTAATATACATGGAATTGTAAATCTCACTTACCTTATTTCAGGTATTATTACATACTTGTATACCTTTTGTTTATTTTTGAACATTTTAATTTTATTAACTGAGCTCTTTGTAGACAGTTCTTTATTGATTTAGAATATTTTTTTTTATCGAACTCGTCCTTTAAGATTATAAACATAAGAGATTATTCATTCTTTAGCACAGAATTGTGATAAAGAAGTTAAAAAACTTACGGCCACAAAAGAAGAAGTTAGAATAAGAAAATATACTTCAATTAATAATAAAAATAAGCGAAGAGCTTTTTATTTTCTCTCCCTTCTCATATGTCGGTATATGATAATAGAGAATATTCCGATCTAAATCCCATGAATATCGTGTATTATCACTTACACATACAATTTTGGAATAATGAGGAAACTCATTAGCATCCACGTCCATCAATCTTCCAAGTACTTGTTTAATTACCTTGAAATGTTCTAGCAAAACCAACCACAAACAAAACTATCAGCTGTCACTAACTTATTAAAGCAATATTTTCAGCAAATTAAACTACATATAATTAAACACAATTTATATTTTGTAGAGAGCTACATATCTCCTGTAGAAAAGAATTGTGCTTTATTACCTAATAACAACATAGACAAATAATGAAAGGAGCAGTCTTCAATACAACTCAACTCATTTTATCATTCAGATTCCTCTTTTGTGACCTGAATATATGCATCAATCCAAATAGTAGTTTGTAAGAAAACAATCATGTCAAAATCAATCTTTAGTTAGGGATTCAATGCAGAAAAATTCACCTTATTGAAACAAACAAATGTCACCGCAAACATGTAGAAATTAAAAAAACTTCGAAATAGACAACCGAGAAACCACCATTATCATTTTCTTTCTTCTTCACGACCTTTATAAAACCCCAATTATGTTCCCTTCTACTTATAACCCCTTTGCTTAATTACTAACCAGATCATCATTGTATAGCTAGCTAGTAGTAGCATGTCAATCATGAACATAAAATATAATAAACAATCATCACAACTCTACTTTCCATTTCAACATTCAAGAAATCGGGTTGCAATAGACATTCAAGAAAAACGATCAATTATTCAACCAAAGGAGGTATCAGGTATGCCCTAAGTCCAACCAATTAACCCTTCTAATTATATTTTATATACATGAAAGTATATGGCGACCCTTCTCAGTAAAAAACAAAGAAGAAATATATTCACTCATCGAGAGTGGGAAAATTTACCATCCAGCAGTCATAATTTGGAAGAAATTAAGAAAAGAATGGGAAAAAGAGTATAACTCGGCCAGTCAACCGCAAACAATAACATATCGCTGAGAAAGTGAGACCAGTTGCCAGCTTCAGATCAAGGAGGAAGAGGGAGCAGTCGACAACCCTCGGCTTGGTTCACCTCATCTTCACAATGATCATATTAATTTTTTTCGTCAATAGGCAAAAATATGTTACAACTGCTCAAAATTTTGTCATCTTATCATTGTCTCGTGTAACTCCTACCTCCTATTCTCATACAAAGAAAAAAAATCGTATGCATTACCATTTTCTTCTCTATAAATTATGAGAATACAGATATTAGAAATCTCAAAAAATTTAGCAACTAATAAGAGGGCTTTGTTTATTTTTATGGTGGTTGACATACTTTCTTGATTTCTTATCTTCAATGTTGGATTTTATTTCTAGAGAGATAATCAAAATGGAGAAAGGGATAGAAACAAATTAAAAGTTTGCATTAATAGTTAATATGTTTTCATTTAATCGAAATGAATAAGAAGGTTTTAAAAAAATAACAATTATTGCTCTGTCAAGTTTATATTCAGACATTTTGCTATATAATTTATACTTGTTTTATTTGATAGGTATATACATAAGAAAGAAGTGAGTGTTTGATATCAAAAAACATATAGTCATATCGTTCATTTCTCAAAGTCGATTGATTGTCAAACACTTATTTTCTCTTAGACCATCGTTTATATTTTGTATTGAAAAATATTAATATTTATGTGTGTGCTTGTTTTTTTTTTCTTCTTCATCAAAATGTAACTTATTATTAAGTTTTAGTAAAAAAGAGTAGAAAATTTACTTAATCAGATTTAATCAGCTTGGGTTAAACAAATACAATATATGTCACTCTCTGTTTCCATCTTTATAGTTTGTTCAATCGATTTTTTTTATTACTTAGGTGTGTTTTTTTTTTTGTTTAAATGTTTCCTAAAAAATTAACTTATTTTAATTTTAGTAAAAATGAGTAGAATTATTAAAAGAAGAGAGAGACAACTTCATAAATAGATCAATAAATAGTTTTTTGTTTGTAAAAAAATTGTCCACCTTGGCAACTTGTGCATTCACCAAGTGCTTATGTGGTAAGAAATTATTTTTGAATAGCCATAATATTAAGTATAGATAGATAGATAGATAGATTATAAATATAACTCACTTTATTACCTGTCATTTGTAACTTCTTTGGTCATTTATCTTTGCTTGTAATGTTAGAAACGGACATGGGCCGAATCACTATGGGCCCAATGTAGTTCTTCGGTGATTTTTATGAATGCAGGTTCTCATAAAAAAAAAATTATAACTTCTTTTGATAATCAATTATGTTTTTTTATTTTTAAGGAAATCATCAATTATGTTGAAAGGTTAATCACGGCTATCCATAATAAATACGCCTAATACAAAAAAATTAAACTAAAGATTCATGGAGGCCACCTACCAGGCTACCACTAGGTCCACTACTCCTCCCTCCGAGGTCCGACTGGCTCAATAAAAGCCCAATAAGATAGGAATGGTTGATGGGCTCACTTCCCTAATCAATGTGCCTTTCGGATGCCAAGTGCCCAAGTTATAAGACTAAACGGTTCTCCACGAATCAAGGTTGTCAACTCGCGGGTCGACCCTCTTTGATCCTGACCTGGTGAGAAAAACGGGCCGCACGCACCCGTCGGGTCGACCGCTACAAGATAATGGGTTAGAGGTCAAATCGTGTCATTTTTTTTTTCTTTAGTTTGCGAAATGCGCCTATTTTTCGATTTTTCTTTTCGCCTAACTCAATTTTTGGAATCCAAAGTTGAACATTTGAATATTGATGTTATATAAGCGTGTACGAATTTTCACTATATGTTGGATCTAAGTACGACATGTAATTTTGGTGAAATATTTTATGTTATAACTCATATGTTAGATGAGATTTGATATAATTTATAAGGATAAGTACAATATAATGACTCTTTCCATATTTTCGGGCTAAACCGGGTGACCCATTAACCCTTGACCAACCAGCTCATCCGGATTCGGGTCAACTCGCGGGTTGACAACCTTGCCACCAACTAAGTATAGAAAATCACAACCCAATCAATAGGGCAACCTCAAAAACTCATCTAGCATTCATTATCACCAAAGCCCAATAGGGAGGGGGCATACAACAAGATCATGTTGAGCTTATTCAACATCAAATACATTCTTAATTCAAACTACTACCATGAAAACAATTACTATAGCTTAAAAGGGAAACATGATCACAGCTCACTAGAGAGTGGACCTCAAGATCAGTTTTTGTAGAGATGAAGGGGAAGCCTAGGGTGAGCAACAGCAACAAGAGGGAACTTCCTAGGAGTAGAGAGCCCATAAATCTCCTCCATGTTCAACTCTTCCCTCTTCATCCCACTAGGCAATTCCCACTTAAACCCATGAAGAAGGCTGGCCAAACTCACTTGAATCACCTTGATCCCCAACGGGTACCCGGGGCACATCCTCCTTCCCGCGCCAAAAGGCAAAAGCTCGAAATCGTGACCTTTCACGTCGATGTCCTTCCCGATGAACCTCTCGGGACGGAACTCCTCGGGAGCGTCCCAGATGGTGGGGTCTCTCCCGATGGTCCAAACATTGACGAGAACGCGGGTGCCCTTCGCGACGCGGTAGCCAGAAAGCTCGACATCCTCTCGAGCCAACCTGGGAACCAACAACGGCGCCACGGGGTGTAGCCGCATCGTCTCTTTCACGATCGCGTTGATGTATGGCAGGTTGGCTACGTCCTTCTCCTCGACCCAACGCTCATTTCCGACTACCCTGTCCAGCTCCTCCGTTGCCCTAATGAAGGCTTCCGGGTGTTTCAAAAGCTCCGAGATCGCCCATTCTACTGTCACTGCTGAACTTTCGGTTCCGCCTGCTATCATATCCTGATAAGATGTATATGTATACCACCATGTTAAGACCATCCTCAAGAGAACATGAGAATTGTTGTCATGTGATTATGGAAGAAATTTTGAGTTCGGTTCTAATTTACTTTTTCCACTTGTAGGGATTAGACTAGTGATGGAGAATGATTCAAAATCCACACACTGTGACAACAGCTCTAAAGTAGCTAAATGCATAATTCATTGTTGAAAAGGAGTGATGGATTGAAGGAAAAGATATATTATTTTCAAGGTTTGCCAATCGCCATTGAAGGCCCCTACCTTGCATGTTAAATCAATAAATAGACTATCACTTTGGCAATGTACTTTAAAGTTTTTGTTTTTCTGGGCTCTACCCCTAAAACTGGTAAAATAATTGAAAGATCATGGGATGTCATGTTTATGCTATCATACTTGTACCAATCAAATAAGGTACCAATTATTAATTGGTCACCCCGAAAGTACCAACATTTATAACTGATGTTACTATTATGCTTGCTAAATATTAAACTATTTCCCACACACACAAAAAAAAAAATTGAATTATTAGTGCGTAGAAGGGTATGGAGTGTATCACGATAGTGTGAAGATATCATAGTGTAGAAAGATTGTATATACAATACATGAAATATATTAATCACTATTTACCACATTTCTACACCATCATCTACTACATTAAAGTTTAAACCATGGTGGTATAGAGCAATATATTTGATTTTATAAAAAAAATCCAAACTTTTGTAAATCACAATAGATCATTTTTAAAAATATATAAAAAAATAAATATTATATTGTATAACACAACGAACACGTCTCATCTTTCAGACTTGAACACAACAAATAGATTAAAAATAGTGAAAAATATATTTTAATCTCATATTTTAGACTTGAACCCACTCAAAACCAAGAGATGAGATATAACTAATTAATTATCCAGAAATGAATAACCAAATAATTATACACATCCTAGACAGAGACGGCGCTAGTAGTCTGCTAGAGCTCTAAATACTTGTTAAACACAGATAAGGAAAGCTATAGGAAAGCGAAATAAATTAATTAAAAATCGACCGTCTGCCAAACATTATTGTTTCTATCGGTGATGGTTGGTGGATCTTTTGTATCCATTAATAAAGACCTCATTTTACCATATATAACACTTTTTAATCAACCTTCCCGTAATTAACCAACAAAAAACTCACCTGAGTAAACGCCTTGACTCCCCTCCGATCAAGCTTCACCTCCAAATCCGGATCCTCCGCCAGCTCCAACAACACATCCACCATATCCTTCGCCCCCAAACCCTCCTCCGCCACCATCCCACCACCACCACCACTCCTCCTCTTCAAATTATGCTCGTCCAAAACCCTTTCCAAAAACCGGTCAAACTTCCTCGCCACCGCCTTCATCCGCCGCCGGTACCCCTGCAGATCCAACGGCGCCAGCCAAGGAATCGAATCCCCGATATCCAAAACCCCATTCAGCAAAAACAACTCATCCAGCATCTCCTTGAACTCCTCGGGCGTCACAATTTCCCCTTCCGCCGCCGCCACGCCGGTGTATTTTTTCCCCAAAACCATCCGGCTGATGACGTTTAAGCTGAGGTCAGACAAGTGGTCCTTCAAATTGACCGGGTCGCCGCCCGACCCGAACAGATTTTTCATGACCCAATTCAGCTCTTCCTTGCGGATGTACTCGTAGGAGGCGAGGCGCTTGGCGCTGAAGAGCTCGGTGAGGCACATCTTGCGGGCCTGGCGCCAGTAGGGCCCGTACTGGGACCACGTGATGTCGGAGTAATTGTAGGTGGTGTATTTTCCGGCCGCGATCTCGGGCCGGCCCGCGAAGGCGAGGTCGTGGGTCTTGAGGATGGATTTGGCGAGGTCGATGGAGGAGCCCACCATGACGGTGTGGGCCCCGAAGCGGAGCTGCATGATGGGCCCGTAGTGGGAGGAGAGGGCGTGGAGGGAGCGGTGAGGGAGTGGGCCGATGAGGTTGAGGTTGCCGATGATGGGCCAGGGCTTTGGGCCCGGCGGCGGTGGGAGGAGGGTGGAGCGGGAGTGGGTGGTGCGGCGTCGGAGCCATAAGGTGAGGAGGAGGACGGCGGCGGTGGCGAGCCAGGCGGCGGCTAGTAGGTTCATCTCCATGTGTTGGGAAGTGAATTTGAGGGTGGAGTGAGTGAGTGATGGGAAGTTGGGGGGGAGAATGAGGCTATTTATAGGGAGATTGTTTTGGATTTGGAGGGTGGTGGCTTTTAGTTTGTTTAGTGCATGGGTAGTGGGGGAGTAATTTGAGTGACCAACCACCTACATAGCAAGTTCCTGCAAGTTTCAAGCAGCCTCATGTATTGATGGGTCAAGTCAACTTCCAATTTCTTTAATTGAGCTTATTACTTTCTTTAAGGTTGTTAATTATTGGGGTGGGGGGTTTGCAAAGAAAGTGAAAGGCAATGAGGAGGAAAATCAATTGAGGGTTGGGTAGGATTTTGGAATTCATCTTGGATAATGAGTATATAGGGGTTTTTTTTTTTTTTGAGTACGTAGGTCAGATGTGCAACTGCTTGGTTTGTATCGGATTAAACTGATGTTTTAATTGGACAATAACGAATTGAATACAATGTGGTATTGTTTGGTCATTGAATTTTATAAATATGGGGAAAAGATTGAATTGATATTTGGACAGGATCAAATACACTGTTGATTTATTCCTTGGTCCTAAGATGTCTTTCGCTATGAAGAATTTGATCTTCACGTTATTGGACTGCGGTTCTCATGAGTTTGGTCTGGCACGAACGAGACCGTTGCACACCCCTAGTAGTTGGTCGGTGTTTTTTCTTTTATGTCTCGTCCAAATCACAGAAATATACTTTGTGAAATAGGTGGTATGCATTTGGTGTGTAAATATGTATAATCGTGTAATTAATCGAAAAAATTATGATATTGGAAATTATGAAATCATGAAATGGGAAATTGACTTGGGAGTTGCTATGCGGATTCCCACCTTAGCTACCATGTCGTTACGTTGGTCATGGTTGTTGTTAGGGAGGTTTTCTATATGGAAAAGAAATTGCTAAGTACTGTAACAGTTTATTATTGTATGATATAAACTGTGTTCCAATACTAGTAAGGTCCGTTTGAACACTTGTCTCAGTGTTCACATTAAGTCTTATTGTTGAGTCAACCGGCCTAGGAAGTATATGCATTATCCAAAGACTGGTTTACCAAATGGAATTTGCCAAGGAATCTGCTTGTGGGATTAGACTAGAGGAAGGAGACCACCTTTATTTGGTGTTAATTTCGTGGTAATGTTTGTAGGGACACATTTGGAATTTAGTGGCACAAATGGAAAATAGGATATTTTCCATTTTTTGTTTAGCTAGCAAAAGGCCAAAAGAGGGAGCCTTTTTCTTTCTAACATTAGATTTCTCAACCAAGAGCCAGGGAACCAACATACAGTGCTGCAAATGAGCTGAGCTACTTGCGAGCGGATCGACGTTCGACTCGAGAAAAGTTCGTTCGAAACTCGATTCGTTAGTAAACGAGCCAAACACGAGCTCACCTTTGTTCAGCTCGGGAAGCTCGCGAGCTAGCTCGACTCGGTGACTTGTTGAGCTAAACTCGTGAGCTGGCTCGTTGAGAGCTCATGATATGTCTTGACATGTGGCTAGAGAGCCAACTCGATTACCAACCTATGGACGACTCAATCTATATCTTATGATTTTAATTCATATGGTTGTTAAATTATATATCTCACAATATATAGAGTTTAACATGTTGAGTATGTGAGTAAATATATCTTATTTTCTACTTTAAAAAGAAATTATGCATCATAGATTGCTTCGATACTATGAAATAACATGATTTGGAGTAGTTAAAATTTAGTAACTAAATGATATATGATACCAACAAAGTATAATATGAGATTAGCTAACAAAATAAATCATATGTATCATGATATACAAAATGAAGTACCAAATAAAAGTTAAGATTTTAATAAACAAGCTAGCTCGAGCTCGACTCGACTCGTTTATTAGCGAGCCGAGCTCAAACTGAGGTAAAACTCTACTCGACTCGACTCATTTGCAGCCCTAGATACAGATATATGAAGAGGAGCACTTTTACTATGCTTTAAAGTATTGGTGTTTTAAAGTACAATTTTAAGTTGTACCACAATGTTAAAGGTACAAGTTAGAGTTGTACCATAAGGGAATTTGATCTTTATGTTGTGGTACAACTTCAGCTCTTCAAGTTGTACCATAACTTAAATGTACAGCTTTAATTTGTACCATAAAAGGATTTTACAAAAGAGTATAGGTACAACCTAAAGTTGTACTATAACCTTAAAGGTACAACTTCAAGTTATACTATAAAGGTAAAAACTAAAGCACCAATACTTTAGGGTATGGTAAAATTCCTCATATGAAGAGAGCACTCTCCCATTGTTACATAGGTAAAAGAGAAGCACCGTAACAAAGAAACAAAACCAAAGAGAATAGGAGGTGACAAAAGTATAACTTTCATATATTAGCCTGGTTGAGGCATGTGATGTAATGAGCTTTTTCTGAATATCAATATATGATTATTTTTTGTCAAAAAAAAGAGACAAAAGTATAACTTTCATATATTAGCAAATGAGCTAATTTATTTACCATGACCACAATGTAAAAGGAAAAAAAAAGGCCAATTGAAAAGGCAATTCGGGTGTGGCTGATGACAATGGACGGGTCGAGGATTTCCCGTTGGCGCCGACAAATTCTGCACCAACGCATCGTCTCTTTCACGCACATGAAAATGCCAATTGAGTAGCTAGCTAGCCCACACCACGTTTTCTATTTCCCTTTGCTAAAAATGAGGCCTACGGCATCTTGTGGTCGGACACCGATAACTTTTAGGTAGGGAAGACAACAAGATATATTTCACTAGGGCATGATTTGTTCATCCAACAGATTAGATAGGATAAGATTAGAACTAAATGGATCATTCATTATTTTACCAGCGGAAAGAAATCAATAAGGTAGCTTTGATTATAATTTATAGTAGTTTTGTGCCCGTCCGATGGGCGACGAGTTTCCTATGTGTGTACTTTTCTTCTATTATCTGTAATTTATGTGTGTACTGCTGATTTTTATGTGCTGTTATTGTCTCTGGTTGTATTTGCTTGAGGTGTTCGAGATCCTTAAGGAGTGGCTCGATCCACTTAGTTGGGGTTTGCTCTTTTTATTTTACTCTTTATTTTTCCTTCTCTGTCAGTTCATTAGGGGGAGGTTCATCCCTTGTGAACCTCTATTGTTATCCCTTTCTGTTTTGATTGTAAGACTCTTTTTGGTTTAATGCAATTCACCATTATCAAAAAAAAAATCCTACTTTTCATATTTATTTATTATTGTCATCTTTTATCCGTGTTTCATCTAATATGATCCAGATTTTAATCATGATCAACAATAATACCAAACAACGTTGTAACTTCATCACCGCTTGGAAAATAATATTCATGACCATCCGATCTTTGATTCACCCATCATTTTCAACTTCATAAGTTGTACGTGGTTTAAGCTAGCATACGCCACCTTACCGTACTCCTATCGAGTTTAGCTATTTAGACCATGTATATATTAACGGAGTTTGGACATGATACTATACCATAGTCTCTAATGGGTGAACTTCAGTGTCTAATTCTCTAATTCAAATATTACGATTCATTAATGCAAAAATAATAACCACCGATTCTTATTTGACAAAATATATTAAAGTACAACTAATAGATTTGAATCAAGGTATATATTACATCTCGAGTGTTCGCTAGCTTTTTCTACTATTATATTAAAGTACAACCAAACTATGATGCTATGCTTCTATATTACCTTCAACATTTTATGAATGATATAAAAAAAATGTTAGTTATAGAGACACTTTGGCTTCGCTTCACATTATCATCCAATATTAAATGTGTGACTGACTGTAACGGGAATTGTTTGATAACCTAATACAAATATAAAGGCGCTCTGTTGTGCAATCAGTACAATAGATGAATTTACAGGACATCGGTGAAGGTATGATCCCGCGTTGGTTTTACAGGACATCGATCCGGGTATGTCTCGTGCTTTTATATAGGATATCGGTCAGGGTATGATCCCGCAGTGAATTTACAGGACACCAATATAGGTACGATCCGATGTGGTATACAGGACATCTATTATACTATCCGAGGAGTGTATGACTTGGAAAATTAAGAAGTAAAGGGGCACTGAATCAACTTAACCATACATGTGATTGAATCCTTGTATAAAGATTACTATGATGCGGTTAAGTGATAACTTTCTATGATGTGATATACGAAATGTGCATGTCGATGATGATGGTTATGTGATGGTTTTCTATGGTGTTTTATACAATGATTTACCATTAGATGGTGTGATGTTTTGCTATGTTGGGACATGGTTACATGGTGATGCCAGTATGATGTGATACTTGGTGAATACATATTTATACAATGAGTTATCAAGAGACTGTTTGATGGTCCTTATGTTGTGAATATATGAATTCCTTGAGTTTGAGATGATGCATGTGTATGACATGTGGTGATGAATGGATGTTTATTTGACTGATTGAGATACAACATATCAGGTATATTTTATGAGTGGGGTTATCCGGCGAGTATAACTGGTTATTAAAAATAGTAATAGTAATGGGTGGTTCTATCGTACCTTGGGTAAAATCAAAGGTATGACATACCTTGAGTAGTAAGAAAATGATATGTAGACCTTGAATTGATCAGAGTTCGGCATAAGGTACTATTCCAAAACCGTGAAAGATTAAATTCTAGGTCTTGATTCTATAAATCATCTCATAAGATCAATTTAATTACAAACAAAAAACCGATGGTCATGATTCATCGAAATATATGCAAAAAATTAAGTGCACAATCTTCGGGGTTAGGCTATATGATTTAGGTATCTAAGACCTAGGGTTTACTCATCAAGGGCTAGACCGTTAGGGTATGGTATAATGCCCAAAAATCCGATTAATTCGGGGTTTAATAGTGTTTTCCTACTCAGGGTATGTCCTAGATTATAACCAAGGTACGATGTATGCCACCAATAGTAATATATGTATTAGGGTGTCACATTAAGTAAGGATTAAAATAGTTATTTACATCTCAACCATTATATATATCCAATAACTTAAGATTCGTTTAGAAATCTTGCTTAATTTAGGTGCTATGCATCTAAACATATCTTAAAGTTGCGCATCTACATTTATGTAGGACAAAGAAATGGGCTTATGTCAACCAATAAAAAGAGAAAAGAAATGAATTATAAGTACATTAGGAAAAAAGTAGAGACAATATGTTTTATAATTGCGCATGAAAAAAAATCTAATCACATATAAAAATGAAAATAGAAAAAAATTGGAATCGTTTATAAATTTAAGAAATTGGAGTAGTAAGAAAATCACATTTCAAATTATGTAAGAGTTTATAAATGTGTAAATCATGTTTTTGGATTTTTTAATTATTTTTAAAAAATTATCAAACATGTTATAAACTAAAAATTAAAATTGGTTATTCTAGTTGTTAATGGTTTCTATCATTGCTGAAAAATAGAATATAAAATTTTAATCGTGATTGTTTTTGTTGTGTAATATACAGAAGTTTAACTTAAATAAAAATAGAATGTTATGTGTTATATATTTTTTTTATAACATGAGTATTAATTTTGTGATTACTTTCATTGAAGAGATTTTATTCTATTGGTTAACTAATTTAAATTATTACAGTTTGAGCTCTTAAGTTGCATGATTATATATTAGTTCTGGTGATTGATATGCATGTTTTGTTGTGATTAATATCATCAAATATAATTTATCCTAGTGATTGAACAATTGAAATGATGATAGGTTTATCTAATAGGTCACAGGTTCAAATCTAGGTCATGATGATTGGTATGCATGTTTATTTAGTTTTATTTTAATGTAATTAATAACTTAAAATGTTAAAATCATAAATAACATAGAAAACTGTGGAGTTTTCTTTGTCCTACGTGGCAAGACCTTTTTTCACAAAGACCATAATATAAGTTAAGATGATACTTAGCCATGGGAACGTGGCCAACCACCAATAGTTTGTCATAGCATCAAAACTTTATATTATCATTAGGTTACTTAGATAAATAAACTCTTCTAATTAAAGAGCTAATCATACAGAATCCTGTATTTGTCTCTTTCGACTAATAATATATTATGTTTAAGCTAATCAAGTATCACAATTGGATCTTTACTAAAAAAAGTACATTTTGGTATTCATGACAACTTCGAGCTTTGCCCTAACATTTTTAATTATTTGAATAGACCAATTGTTTATTATGTATGTTACTGTCAATAATTGAGAGGTTCGGTGTTCAAATTCTCACTACTTTTAATATCAACAGCCTGAATTAAGCACAAGGTATGTATGATGAGTTTTGTGCAAACCAAGTTCGTCGACATTTGTTCAGTGGGCATGTTAGAGATTGATGTTATGAATTTCATACATAAACTTCTTCCAATAAATCGAGTTATTGTAATGGACTGATTCTTAGCAAATTGTCAGCTTTGTGATCTACTATTTTTCAAACTATATATAATGAGAAAATACGACCTTCACATTTTTCAATAGTGTTCCGAGTTTCTACTCATTCAAATCAGTATTGAAAGGAACCGACTAGAGTGACCTCCGGTTATTTTTCAATTTCTAATTAAATTGCATCAACAGAGGTGTTTGGATCGATTTTGGCTCAAAATTTGCTTCTTATGTCAACAAGGATTCAGCAGGCTAATCAAGAATAATTTGGTTGGACAAATTTAATCTGTTATGTGAAAATAAAAGTTCAGTGGTTAATGTGTTAGTAACTCCAAAGATAAGTGAGTCCATCTGTAATTGACCCTATAACCGAACAAACTAAAATCCTATAAGCTATACTATACGGATATGGTCTCCCGGGAGAATTTCTTTCCCAGCTGATTCTTCTTCCGATAGTGCTCCGGAATCGACCCGGTTCCTCTATTTGGGCTGAAGGGGGATTCTCTTCGCGAAAGCTTCGGGCGGCGGTGAAAAACAAAGGAAACCAAATCGGGTAGTCCTGCAGCGAACAGGTTTGGCGCCGCGCCGGCGGGCGGCAAGAACCGGCATCTGGGAGACATGCTCCGCGGTTATTTTACCGACTCTGATGGCGAAGGAGACATGAAAAGCTTCTGGCGGATTAGGCGAAGCAATTACTTCAATTGGGAAAAGGTCGACGGAGGCGGCAGCTGGTGTTTCTAATTTCTAAAGCCAGTTTTCGGGAAGCGAAATGCATGAGAACTGTTTGTGGAAATGCCCCTCCGTGTAAATGAACAAGCAAAATGCAGAGTCGAAAGTGGCAAGAGACGGCGGAAATTTTCGAAGTTGAATCCAGCAGAACGCTCGTATGGGTCATCAATCGAATCCCGATCAAAGAGGAAAAAGGTTCTTACTTCTCTGCGCCTTGCTCTTGCTCTTCATTGATTTTACTACTCAAATTTAGCCATAGACTTGCGTTAGAAGATCGTTCCATTGCTATGGAGTTGGGGATTTAGGATAACAGCTAAAGTTTAGGTAATACTAATGAGAACCAATGAACGAAGCAAGGAAAATGGAAAGCAGAGCTCAGTAACACTCAGTAAGTAGAAAGCTGGAACCTTTGATTTTTCATGATCTAGAACAGGCAACAATACTTGTCAAGAAACTCAGCCTATGATAGAAGGGATCGTTGAGGTTTAAGTTTCATTTCATTGCCACAGATAGAAGGTTGCAGTTTTCAAAACCATGGCAAGTGAGCGACTGTGGCTGCGTTAACTCTAAGATCAACTGTTGGATCTTGGACATTGAGCTAGCCACCAGGCTGATGTCCAACTTTTGCTTCCGTGTGTCACATTTTCAATCAAAACCGTAACATATTTGTTGCCTGAATCTGTCTGCTGTATGAATTAGTTGCCCTTAAATAAAATCCTCCCTCTCTTTGTCTTCGCCCTTCCACATCAAACATCTGCCCTTTTTTTGAAACTTACTCACACCCACGCTGCTCCTTCTCCTTGTACTGCTTTTCCTCGCTGCCCTTCGCCTAAAAAATGGCAGTTGTTCTCGCTGAGGTGGTCGTCAAGAAGCCGGATTCGCTAGCCACTGATAAGGAAAATCTCCTTTGGGGTGTCGAAAGCGAGATTCCAAGACTTGACAGACAGAATGGTTTCCACATAGCGGATTGCCATGACTTCACTACTCTGTCTCCAGTCAACATCTCCCTTCCCTCCATGTGCTTCAGATTCGGGATTGCGGAGCTATGGAGTTAGATAACTATGATGACAATAATGATGGAGATTGATTGTGAGAACTATAACATGCCTTGATGTGTCCTTCCAAGCCTTTATATCATGGTTGTTATTAGTCTTCCTAAGTTGGTTACCAGTGGCGGATCCAGGGCTGGGCCAACCCAGGTCCCGGCCCAGCCCTCCTCCGAATCCAAAATTAGTTTAGTACTTATAAAATTTTTCGATTTAGGTATTTGGTCCCGTGCTATTTAAAATTCTGTCTAGTTTTATTTGATAATAGGATTTTGTGTAACTAGAAAAATGATTCAGATGAACATATCCAAACCATTACTCTAAATTTATACTAAATTTTCTATAGCCCCAATGATTTTATTTGAAAAATGACATGAAAACTTAAAAGTGTAAAGTTTCATTAAAATAAAATAAAAAAACTCTAAACTAAAGCACACCCTTCCTTGCAAAATTCGAAAAATTTCCCAATCCCAACAAAACAAACCAAGAACGAGGAGACGAGCAGACCCAAAATGAATTTCTCTGCCAGCCCGTCGAGCTGGTTTTCTTTCCATTCTTTTGATTAAGAAAATATTTACAAACTTGCTGAGTCATCATTTAGATTGCCTCAATTGAGTGGGGCATTAGATTCTAACCGTTCTTTCTGGTGTTTTGATGAAGAAAATATTTACAAACTTGCTCAAGAGTTTAGCCTCGAGACTTTGAAGGCTATGAGATGCATTTTTTGGAGAATGCACTACTCATGTGAGGAAGATGAAGTTTCTTCTCTTGCAAAATTATTAGAGAAGCTGGAGGAAATAGGGATGGACACATAATACAAATTGATTTGTCGGTTGATTTGTCTAGTGTTGACCTAGCCGTTTCAACAACTACCATGAAGAGAATATTTTCAGCAATGGAACATGAACATTGATTTGTTCAACAAAATGAGCGATGAATTTTTCGTTGATTACTTAGCTATTTTCTTTGAAAAAGAGTATATTATCAGTATGGATGGAGATTATATTATTGATGAATTTGCTAAATTAAAAGACCTTCTTGTACAATTGGCGTTGTAATGAAAACTATATTATTACATATTTTTGTTTATGGTATCTAATATTCTATTCAAATACGGCCCAGTACTCTCTTATGTCCTGGATGCCGCTGTTGGTTACTATACCGAAGTGACGACAGCATTCCTCAAATTTGCGGCAGCTGACAGTAAAGGAATGTGACAACCTGGAGTGCGTACCATGTTGGCTTACAAAGCTCGCGCCTTGAAGACTTTGGAAGTGAAAGAGATGTCGTGTTCTGTGTAGGGTTGTTCAAACGGGTTGGTTACCGTGGTAACCATATTAACCAGTAGCATTCGGTTAATTTGGTTTGATTAATTTGGATAATTGGTTTGGTTTGGTTAAACAATTTAGCTTATTTGGTTTATGTGGTTTGGTTTGGTTTCAACACTGCTAATCAATGAAACCAATTAATGATACACCTAATATACAAAATTATTTATACTTCCGTGCAACCAACCAAACAAAACTTTCGCGATTCCCTATTTTATTTCCATGTGCACAACAAGTCAAAGCATTATGGGTCAAAAATTCAATGAGTCTGCCTATTTACTAAACCAAAACATTTTGGACAGCTACTAAACTTTAGGATTACGTACAATACCATGACAACCACCTCAAACTATGTATAATTTAATTGTTTTGTAGGAGAGCTTTAACTTCCTGATGAGTGGTATTGATATGTATTTAATATTTATGTTAAGGGTTTGTTGTAAGCTAACAATATTAGGTGTAGAGATGATGAATGATGTATTAACTCGAATTATGATAATAATCATGGATGGTTAGTCTTATTATTATTGCTTATATATAATGATACTAATAACATATGGTTATGTTTTATTCATTAACATGATAATTATTTTCATGTAATGTTATGTTATTTGGTTAATTCGATTAACCAAACCAATTAAACTTTGGTTTGGTTAATTTGGTTTTCGTGTTAATTTAGACGGTTTGGTTAAGACACTTTATTCCATGGTTAATAAAATTTAAGCTTAATTGGTTTGGTTATTACCACGGTAACCATTTGAACACCCTAGTTCTGTGGGCAAAATGCAGAAGCAACACCAGTTGAAGACTGCCTCAACATTTCCCACATCCCAACTATCAGATTCGACGATATGTATGTTCAAAAGGATGGTCTCTATTTGGGATAGAAGAACAAGAACAACAAGAACAAGGAGCATCCTCACACACCCAATTCTCAAGGTATTTACTTCAGGTGGTTAGATATAATTGATGTGTAATGCTGTTATCCCTTTCTGTCTTATTTACCTTGTTCCTTTGAATCAAAAAGAATTGACTTGATTGATCTCTTTGCAAGGTTGACCTGCAAACTTTCCCAGAGATGTTCATGGCAGCATTTTTCATTGTATTGTTGATTAAGTCATTAGTGAAATGTATCAAACCCAATTAATTAGTATCTAAATTGGGCTGTTTGTTATAAAAATAAGTAGTGGGAATGACATAATACATGGGCTAAAGTGGAATTAGCCGGAAGGAAAAGAAAGAAGAAACAACCAGGTTGCCGGTAAGTTCTCCGATGAACGAATTAAACAACTTCATCTATATATCGCCTACTCTACAATAGCAGCAAGCTTAGCCGCCGCGACGGAAGGAGAAGAGCCGCCGCACCTGTCGGGAGCTCCGGCGGCAGGCGCCGCCAATTGCTGGCGGTTCGCCTGAGCCAAGACAAGCGACTTGTAGATCTGGAGGATCATCTTCTCATCGTACTCCTTCACCGCCTTCCTCCCGAACGACGAGACGCCGCCGTCCCCGACCATCCCGGCGCCGCCGGCGGAGTTGGCGAACCCGAGCATCATCCTGACGTAGGCGTCCCGGAGCCAGATGAAGAACCTCTTGGGCGAGGCGAGCTTGTCCATGAACTTGAGCTTGGGCTTGATCTTGACCCGCCACGAAATCCTCCGCCGCCGCCTCCCGCCGCCTCCGAGCTCCACCTGCCGAATCCTGGTCGAGGCGGAGGCGCCCCCGCCGTCGATGCGGTGGTAGCCCTGGCGCTTCCAGTAGCGTTTCATTTTGGTGTATACGGTGGCAGAGACGCCTTCCATTTGGGAATTTTATTGTGAATTGAGAATTCGTGAGGTTGAAGGGGATAAGAGAAGAATTGGGGATCTGGAGGATTTTGCAGGCTGGTTGTATGGCGTGAAGGAGCTGGCTGGGAGAGTGGGAGACTTAAATGAAAGGCGAGGTGGATCAGAATTCAGAGGTACTGGTTGGCGGTGGCGTACTGGTTTCTGGTACCTACCTATTTATTATTGTGCTGCTGCGGTAGATGTTGGGCTGAAAATTAGCGAGATGCACGTTCGACTCGAGAAAAGCTCGTTCGAAACTCGGTCAATTAAGGTTTGTTCAGTTTGGGAGTTAGTTTGACTCGGTGGCTTGTTGATCTAAACTCGTGAGCTGGGTCGTTTAGAGCTCATAATATGTCTCCAACTCGTGGCTAGAGAGTCAACTTGATTACCGACTTATGGACGAATCAATCTATATCTTATGATTTTAATTTATATGGTTGTTAAATTATATATCTCGTCATATATAAAGTTTAACACATTGAGTATGTGAGCAAATATATCTTATTTTCTATTTTAAAAAAAAATTAATCAAATTATGTATCATAGATTGCTTCGATGCTATGAAATGATATGATTTGGAGTAGTTAAAATTTATTAACTAAATGATATATAATACCAACAAAGTATAATATGATATTAGCTAACAAAATAAATCATATGTATCATGAATATATAAAATGAAGTACCAAATAAAAGTCAAGATTTTAGTAAACAAGCTAGCTCGAGCTCGACTCGGCTCATTAATAAACGAGTTGTGCTCGAGCTCGACTCGTTTATTAACGAGCCGAGCTCAAACTGGAGTAAAACTCGACTCGAATCGACTCGACTCATTTGCAGCCCTAGATGCCCTCCTAAGTCCCAACAAACGTGTAAGAGTAACATAGATCTGTGTCAACTCGTTTATTAACGAGCTGAGCTCAAACTGGAGTAAAACTCGACTCGAATCGGCTCGACTCATTTACAACCCTAGATGCCCTCCTAAGTCCCAACAAACGTGTAAGAGTAACATAGATCTGTGTTAAAACCATTATTTATATTAGCATCATCGTCGGATTCAAATACTGGAACTTTAAATCGTCTCATCCATGTAACTTTAGTTGTTTGGCAATGTATGAGTATGCTATACCTTTTCTTTTACAATATGACTAGGTCGAAATCTCATGTTTCTCACGGGGTGTTGATCAATTCTTGTTATATTAAATATTTGTGTTTATATATATATATATATATGAAGTGATATGTTAAACGAAAAAAATAAATAGAAAACTCACGTAATACAATGTTTCAGATAAAAAAAAATGAAATAATATAACCCAAGATCGGTTAAAAAAATAGTGCATTCGATGACATGTAAGATTAAGTTGAAACGACAAGATAAAACTCTCGTTACAACACTGTATTTCTATGATATGAGAGTAAATTGGACATGATGGGCTATGATGCCTCAGATTCTAAAACATGACTCGATGCAAAAACAACATATTTATTTGAAAAGTCGAAAAACTCATAAAGATTGTCAATCGATAAGAATTTGACAATGGAAAATGCATTGTCACAATACATGTGATTAGCTTACCTCTAGTTGAATAGTTAGATACTATGGGTTTGGGTGTAATCATCATTTTCAACCGAAGGGAAATTTTGAAATTAAAAAACACTAATGTGGATAAAACCCTCACAACCAAAAAAACTCATAAATATCGGGTTCAACTCGCCTTAATTGGGTCGAATTCAGTTGGATACCCATGGATTTGAGTTTGATTTTCATTCTCAACCAAAAGATAAAAACAGATAAAACTCGCCCCGACCCAACACTTGTCAACACGAGTACAACTCGCTCTTGTCCCAAAACTCATTAGCACTAGGTTCAACCCTCTTTGACTTGGTCCATTTATAATTTTTTTGGATGTGATTGAGATGCAAATCGGCCTCATTTTTAACAAATTCACACCGACCCAGCCCGCTAATTAGGAAAACAGATAAAACTCTGTCACGATCCAAAACTCGTCGACACGGTAAAACTCGGTCCCAGCCCAAAAATCGTCAACACCTGTTCAACTTGTTTTCATCGAGTCGAATTTGGTTGGACACCCATAGGTTTAGCTCTATTGTCCTTCTCAACTAAAAGGAAAAAGCAGATAAAACTCGCAGGCAACACGGGTAAATCTCGGTCTCGTCCCAAAACTCGTCAACACGAGTTTCAACTCGTTTTGACCAGTTCGATTGATTTATTTTCTAAGTGGAGGGATAGGTAATAAAAAAATAAAAAACAAAAAAAAAGGCAATTTTCAAATAGACATAAAAAAAAATTTACGAAAAATGTCACTCCTTAGATGTGATCCTAAGAATTAACGTCCTTCTATTTGTTCTTTTAATGGTTTAATTTAATAATAATTAATTTAATTAATTAACAAAAGGCAATAGGCATTACACTCACCCTGTTTGGGGATGTGCTTCCTCTTTAGGGGTGGTGTGTCGCCGTACCCTCCTCAAGGGAGTTGAGCGCAGTGTGTTGTACGTGCTGACCAGAGCTCGGTGACGGTGGTGTGGATCGAGACCATATAGTCATTGGTTTCGAACTTGGGCCGTCACCGTTCCCCGTTCTTCATTAATGTGCGAGAAGAGAGAAAGGGAGAATTGATTTGTAAAGCAAGTCTTGTAAATAATGGTACAATACCTTATTTAATGCAAGTCCTCTAGTGTCGGTTTATCTTTCACACTTCTTTTGGAAAAATGGTACAATACTTGTCGGTTTGGAGTGGGTAGGGCGACAAAATAAGTATGGGCGGGTATCTCTAAACTCAATCCGGTGAATAGTTAACGGGTTTAAACTCAAACCCGGCCCAAAATCCGTCAACACGGGTTTTACCCGCGTTGACCGGGTTGGGTCGAGTAGGGTACCTGTGGGTTCGGTTTTTATTGCCATCCCTAGTTGGGCGTCACTATGCTCGTGCGGCAGGATGCTGGTGCGCTACTACTTAGTCTCAATTTGGCTTTACTATTAATGTCTTCAATTGGTGCGCTAGTACTTAGTCTCAGTTTGGCTTATAGTAACACCGCCAACAGTTTTGTATACAATATCAGTCTTATTCCTGCACTTTTATGACGTAGTTCGTATATTTTGTAATATTAATTTGTATACTTTTATAATTTGATTTGTTTACTTTGTATTACTGGTTTCTAATTTATGTAATATTTTGTGTACTTTTAGTAGGATTTGTATACACTGTGAGTCTGATTTGCATACTTTATTGTGTGATTAGTATATTCTATAATATTAATTTGTATAATTTTATAATTTGGTTTGTAAGTTAAATTTTTTTTACTTTTATCACCCGGTTTGTATATGTTGTAATATTAATTTTTATACTTTAATTACATGGTTTATATATACTTCCTAGTATTGGTTTGTACATTCGGTGTTACTGATTCGTATAATTTTATAATATGGTTTGTGTAGTTGTAGTATTTGGATGCATATTTTGTGCTATTGGTTTTTATACTTTTAACAACGTAGTCAAAATCATGATTATATGTAGAAGCGCTTTTGTCCCTTAAAAGCGGAAAAACATAACATATAAAGTTTTAAAACATAGATTATGACTACAATTATAAGTGAAAAGTGCGAGTGTAGAAACATTTTGATAACATAGAAGTATAGAAGTGTAAGTTTTAAAAATTTAAAGTACGATTTTGACTATAATTCTAAAAATAATGAAAAACTTAGTCATTTGTCTAAGCACCCTTAGTCATGATAGTCATGAGATCCTCTCCTCCAAGTAGCAAAAAGCCAAAAACTATACCTCAAGACAACTAAGGGTGAGAAGTGGTACTGACCAGACCAGACCATGCACACGGTTTGTGGTCCAGACTGAGAGGTTTGAACACAAACCATGGACCATACCATATACTATATAGTTCAGATCAAACCACGTTTGTGCGGTACGGTGCGGTCCGGTACGGACTTGGTAGACCATGTTAAAAAAAATCACGCTTATTCCGCCCTCCAACCCTCCCCGGTATCTATGAAAATAAAAATTTCGATGACCAATATGCTAGTGAAACAAAAAATTTAATGATCGTAATTAAAATGGGAAGAAATATATGAGGTGAGAATTTGACTTTTTCAATTTTCTAACTCTCTTTCCAATCTCCGTGGCTCTATCTAGTATGACAGTATCCATTAAAACAACACACATCAAACAGCCTTGTTTCCCTCTTTCTTTTTGCATAACCGCTTCTCTCCCTCTCTCGGGTGATCCAGAAGGTTCTCGTCTTTGATCACCGTCTTGATGATGTCGGGGTTGTTTTGAACTACTAAGATAGTCGTTTATCTCTCAATAATTTCCCTTATCTCATCAAGGTGAATGAATTTGTGTTTTGTTTATCGATCCATAGTCTAGACATTGTCAGTGAATATTATTTATGATTTTTTTTTGTTTCTTTCTTGTTTCTTTGTGGTTCTTTGATAAGGAGATAGCACATAAGCAATCATTTGGGCAATCTGTTGGCTTTCAACTGGATGCATAATCAATTAACTTTGTTCTTCAATTATGGAAATGGAGGTTTAATTTAGTGTTATTTTCGTCTAAATTAGTAGATAGTGTGTCACGTCTTTCACGATTTACTGTGATATCCCGCGATCCAGACCACACACTAGAGGAAGAAACCATAAACCAAACCAGACCATAATTTTAGTCTCACATACCACACCAAACCATACAATGTTTGGTCTAGTTTCCGGCCCTAAAGAAAACCACCAAGATATGCTTTAGCAAAAAGAATTTATTTTTATTATAAAAAAGAATAATTTATTTTGCACGGTCTGGTTGTAACCGGATATTGGGTTGCAATCTGGTTTGGTTTCCAGTTATGATGGTGGACAGAAAAACCGATCTGATCCAATCCGGTTTTAAACCGAAATAACTGGATGTAACCGGATATTGGGTTGCAATCTGGTTTGGTTTCCAGTTATAATGGTGGACAGAAAAACCGATCTGATCCAATCCGGTTTTAAACCGAAATAACTGGATAACACAAAAGCCTACACCCCAGCAAGCCTGCCCACCCTAGCCCACACCCCACGAAGCCCAATACCCAACCTCCTCAAACCTGAAACTGATCTTATCCTTCTCCTCCCTCACACGCACACAGCACAGACATAATTAATTGTTCAGTTTCATTCTCCAGTTCTCGCGATTCACCTCCCAGCAGCAGTCGTGAGCTCGCTTCGTTCTCATTTGCTATCCACCGAACAGCGCCTCATCATCGTGTTACTCCTCTTCATCATCAATTCGTTGTTTCTGGGTACGTCTTGTTTCTTCTTTCTCACCGGCTTGTGATCGCCCAGTTTGCAAGCTGCGTTGATTTGTAATTCCCGTCAGTTCTCTGTCCTTCTGTTTGTTGTTTCATGATCTGGGTATTCGAAAGTACCTCCGGGTATTGCTCATTGGGTGATCTGTGCCTTGATCTGATGAAAAAGTTCGTTTCTTTTTGTCGTTTTGCTGCCTGGTAATAAAAAAAAAAACGTCATTTTCCCCCTCCTGGGGGGTTTCGTTTGATTTGGCCGCTCCGAATGGTTTGATTCCTTGGCGTGTTGATTTCCTGCTTGTCTTTGAATTCAATGTTTGCGATTGGTTTTCAATTACCACGAATGAGTGTATTGATTCTTTGAAGAAACTGAGGACATCACGACCTTAATAGGTAGCATTAGGGAGCTATTATATGGTAGTTTCTGGTCTCGTATTTGCAATGTGTTGGTTCTTGCTCATTCTAAAGAACCAATGCGTATTGGTACATTCATAAATAAAAAATTGCATGGAGTCATGCTACTGAAATTGGGAAAGCTAGGCTAGTGAAGCGTAGTGATGCGCATCCACAGCTGCAACTGGCATTGGTATTTAGAGTACAAACATTGACTGGCTGTAGAAAGAGATGAAAATTAGAACTCGATTTTGGTGACGGTGGTTAAAAGGGAGAGAGGTTGGATTCGTCTTCAAATGATCTCGGCTAGCGCCTGATAGATGGTAGGGCATAGCGGCAGTCAGGTGGATCGATGGTGGTGCTCTCCTAATTTCTTGATTTTGGGTGTGTTTTCATATACCATGCTCCTTTCTAGTTGTTGATAGGTTGTATGGTGGATCTTAATTTTAATTTGTGATGATGGTTGTCGATTATGATGTTAGGATGTACCTAATTTGTTTACGGTATATAATTTTCTTTTAAAATGCGGCCTAGTGCTCTACTAAGTACTGGATCCGCTGCTGGTTACTCGAATCTTCATTTCCTTGCATCCACCGCCTTCGCTCTTACATTCTCTTCTTCTTTGTCAACAATCAACAATTAGATATCGCGAGGTTGCCGACAAAAGCTTCCTGTAATGGAGGAGAAGAAGGAGGAGCACGACCCTATTGTCCAGATGAACAAGCAGAAGAAACTTGCAACTACTACGAAGAAGGAAGTTATTCGGTTGGAGAAGGAATCCGTCATTCCTATTCTTAAACCCAAGCTCATCATGACCTTAGCCAACCTCATCGGTATCCTGCTTTTTTGCTTCACCCCTTTGAAAATTTCTGTAATTGGGCTTCATTTTATGGAACAAAACCACAACTTTGTTTATTGCAGAACAAAGCAACGACCGAGCTGAATTCCTCAAACTCTGCAAGCGAGTCGAGTATACTATTCGAGCTTGGTACCTTCTTCAGTTTGAAGATCTCATGGTACCCTTCAACCTTTCCCGATCTCTCCAATTATCCTTTTGTTGGTTTCTTCTGTAATGTTAAGTTTGATGTGAAGTTGTATCTTTGCAGCAATTGTATTCCTTGTTCGACCCTGTATCCGGAGAACAAAAATTGAAACAGCAGCACCTTACCTTAGAGGAAATCCAAACTCTCGAGCAGAATTTCCTTTCTTACTTGTTTCAGGTACTTCTTGAATTGTTGTATGCATTGCACCCTTTGCTTCTAAAGTGGCTGCCAAATTATTTTTCCATATTAATGGAAACCCATTCAAAATGCTAGGTTCTTAGCTCTTGTACGAGGTAAGCTGGCTGGTTGCTAAGATATTGTAGTGAATTCATATACTTTTGGTGTTTTCTCATACGGTGATTTTGCAGGTGATGAGTAAGAGTAACTTTAAGATAGCAACTGATGAGGAGATTGATATTGCTCTCTCAGGTCAGTATCTGTCTAATCTCCCAATTAAGGTGGATGAGTCCAAGGTTAGCGAGCTTTTGTCCTTATTACACACTTTGTTTTATTGTTTGGATTGTCTAATGAATGAATGAATTAGATAATTCTGCCCCTTGGTTGCGTTCAAAATTTTACTTATCTGGAGGTTTTGTACCTGTAGCTTGACAAGCAACTTTTGAGCAGTTATTTCGCGAATCATCCTCATGACAACCTTCCCGAATTTTCAAACAAGGTAAATGAATTATACATATCTACCTATATGTTTGTTCTTAGCCAGAACTTGCTTTAAAAGCACAAAATGGTGAGAGAACTCGAATGCCAGCTGATTTCACAAACAAGAATGTATTTGTCTCTTATATCATTCTACAAAAGCCTTCTTTTCTTCATTTTTTTTTTATTTCATTGGTGGCTCAGTAGATAGTTCATCTGACCTACTCCGTAGCTTCTTCTGTGAGTACATGTTTCATTAATCTTATCTGCTAAGATTATGAAGACTAATCCGTACTTCACTTGGTCATGCAACTCTGATTGAATCATGTTGTTAATGGGGAAGTATGCTGCTAGGTTGAGGGTCGAGAACTTTTGTTATGTTTTATTTATAAGAAGATATTACTTATGTTTTGCCTTTAATTTAGGTCTTGTGTCAAGATATCTAATGATGTGATGATTGCATTTTTCCTAGTATGTTATCTTCCGTCGTGGCATTGGAATTGATCAGACCACGGGCTATTTTTTCATGGAGAAAATTGACATGCTTATTGCTCGTATTTGGGCTTACCTTTTAAGGGTTACAAGGTAAACAGGAGGATAGTTAATATCTAACCTCCTCTTGTTGGATCTTTATTTTATTATTGAACTGATGAATCTACTTTCTCTTATTGTTTTTGCTTAGTTCCTCCGTTCCTTACCAATGTTACTGCTGATGCAGGTTGGAGAAACTTTTCTCAAGAAAGTCAACCAAAAAACAACGGAGAGCTCTCACGGAAATTGATGACACTGATTCGGAAGAGAACAAAGACAACTTTTTTGTCGAACGCATCCGTCTAGAAAATATGGAACTTAGGTTGGTGTGATATTTTAGTTTTGGGACTGTTCTTCTTCTAGACAGTTTCAATATGTCGAGCTTCAGTTGCTGTATTGGAGTGATAAAACCATGAAAAATTCTATTCACGCGAAAGCTGCATTGCCTATTATCTTCTTGGCTCCATAATGCAATTTTTTTTTTTGGTGATATTAAGGTCTGCTGATTGTTTACATCTTCCTGACCAACTGGCAACTCCTTTGCTTTCTCAGCGTGAAGAACTTGCTGAGCAAGACAACAATTCAGGAACCTACATTTGACAGGATAATAGTTGTTTATCGGTACGTCATTGTTTGTTTAAGCTGGTTCAGATTTTGTTCTATTGCCTATTTCTTCGGATGGTGTCTGAGCTGACATTTCTATGGCTGGTTTTCTGTGACTTTCTTTCGACGTGTTCATTTGTTTTGGTGAAATGTATGGACTATGGATGGTAATACTAACAGGTCCAAGATGATATTTCCAGGAGAGCAAGTACAAAGGCGAAAGTAGAGCGTGGTGTATATGTGAAACATTTCAAAAACATTCCAATGGCTGATATGGAAATCGTTCTTGTAAGATTCTCCCACTCTTCAACTATTCTCGCACAGATATGAAAGAATGTTTCTTTTCGGTTTGAATTGGTGCTGATATAGTGGTGCATTCACAGCCAGAGAAGAGAAATCCTGGATTAACTCCAATGGACTGGGTCACGTTTCTTGTTTCAGCTATAGTTGGATTGGTGAGATTGTGAAAAGATTGTGTCTTTGTTGACCATTATTTGTTTTAACTATCAGAATTGTGTATTTAATTTAGTATATCCTTAAACCCCCCCACCATAACAGGTAGCAGTTGTTAGTTCACTTGAATCGCCTACAGATGATCTTTGGGTTATGCTTGCTGTTCTCTCAACAGTGGTTGGCTATTGTGCCAAGACATACTTCACGTTAAGTGCTGTATCTCTGTATTTTTGCTCATAGTTTATCTTTGTTTGGTATTCCAATTCCTGTTCTGATAGTGACCAATCGGGCTACTTTGCTATGTTTGACAAACAAACTACAGTTATCAGCAAAACTTGGCGGCATATCAGAACTTGATTACCCAGTCTATGTATGACAAGCAGTTGGATAGTGGAAGGGGCACTCTTCTTCACCTGTGCGACGATGTGATTCAACAAGAAGTAATTTTCTTGTGTGCCATTGATTATTCCTTCGATGTTCAAGTGGTTTGTGATGGTAGCTTAAGCTTCTTTTCTTACTATTGGGTCAGGTGAAAGAGGTGATAATATCATTCTTCATATTGATGGAACAAGGCAAGGCTACTAGAGAGGTAAGAATGCATGACAATCCCTTTTGTTGCAACTCGTACTAAGAGTACTGGATTAGTTTAGAATACGATAGCTGAGTATGTATGTTTGAATCATAGGATTTGGATGTACGGTGTGAGGAACTACTGAATGAAGAGTTCGGGGAAAGCTGCAATTTTGATGTAGATGATGCTGTTGAGAAGTTGGAGAAGCTTGGCATTGTTTCAAGGGTAAGTGGCCCCTACACTCTCCACTTCTTCCTCCGTTTGCTAATCATTTGTGTCTGCTTGCGTCTTATATCCCGGAAACAATTGTGATGCAACCCGAGATTCAGTTTTCTCTGATTTGTTTGTGTACCATGAAACAGGATTCTCTTTCAAGATATCAGTGTGTGGGGCTAAAACGAGCCAACGAGATAATTGGCACCACAACGGAGGAGATTGTCCTCAAGGCCAAGCAGGGTGTTAGTCCCCAATGACATACATGATGCCTGCCCCAACAGTCTTCCTCATGGGAATGGAGGTAGTTTATGCTCAATTTGTGGAAAGTTGTAAAGAGGCTTACTTCTTGGTATGGTGATAAAGAATGCGTGTAAATCCATGGGAAAGTTATGAGAGTTTTGATTTGCTATTTGACTTTGGGTGTTTAGAATAATAAGACAGTAGCAAGAGATGCTTATCTTGTTTATTTTTGTTTCTTGGTTTAGTGGATGAGTGACTGCCAGTTCTATAATGAGCAGTCATTTTACTGATAAGAAAACGAAAGTATGCATCAGATTTGTGGCCATAGCCAAGATCGAAAATCAAAAGAAATGGTATTATAGCTAATTAAGCTACAAGGGGTTCCTTTGTTTACTTGATGGGCCATGCCGATGCTTTCTGATCGGTGCACTAACATAAAAAGAGAAAGATAAGAGTCCCAATAGCAGAAAGGTAAGTGTTCATGAACTGAACTCCTTCCTGCTATGTTTATGCCATTCCCTGATGTATTTCAGTCTTTTTTCCCCAAAACTTTCCTGGCAATTTTCTGCCTGGTCAATATATCGTGTAAATATCATTATATCTCTTTATCTCGTGATATATAGTCAATTTTACTTTGTCAATTTATCGCGTTTGGATTTTGGTTTTGAGAACACGAGGCGTTTCTACGTTTCGAGGCCTTGGTCAATATATCCTGATAAATTAACATATCGTTTTAACAATCGTGATTTATATCCATCTAGTAATATCTTCAATTTCACTTTAGCATCACGAAAAGGGGTTTGTTGGTAGTCCCGCAACGGAAAGAGATTTGCAAATGACTTTTCCCCGAATGACTTTTTTTCTCTCTCACTAATTTCCCATCTTAACCTTCCCTTTTTTTCATATACCAGATACTAACCCTTCTATAATCTTCAATTACTTTCAAACAATAAATTTCAATTATTTTTCACTAATACTTTTCAATTATTTATGTTGATATAGTCGTTATTATTTGGAGACCGATGTCAAATATATGTTATGTTTGTTTGTAAAATGATACACTTTGAAAACGTTACAATTCATAAATAAAGTCATCATAATTTTTTTCGTTCAAATTAAAAATAAATACCATTATAAATGGATAATAGCCAAATAATATGTTACAAAATAATTTTTTCGTGATTAGTTTTTTAGGATAAAAAATAAGATAATGAAACATATTACATATGAGGCCAAAATGATAATTGTATACAAATGTGTCATCTTATTTTCTCTAACAAACAACACATTTGGAAACATTTACATTGTAAAATATCTATTCAACTAAATAACACCCCCTACAATTAGGAATGACAATTTCAACCTAACCCGTTTTATCTGACTTGTTTGAGTTGTTTTGGGGTGGGCGGACATGAGTACTCTCATCAATCCGACCTACGACACCAGATCTCGGAGGTTGTTTTAGATTTGGCTGAGCGATAAAGAAAGCTTCCTACTTCTAGAGATTCACCAAGAGTTCGCGTTTGGGACTTAATAAAATGATAGGAGGTTCATTAGATGGGCGTTGTTATAGAATTTGATAGATTTACAGGAGATTTTCGGCGTCAACTTAGGAAACGAAGAAACGAATGAAAAGAAGAAGATATGAGCTATTTTATTAATAACTAATCGAGTTGATTGGGATGGATAAACAATACATTATTTTATGTAATTCGAGTGATCAATGTAATTTAGCCCAAAATTTACATATGAATGACAACAAACATAGTAACACAAGCCTTCATTTAAATTATGAGAAAATTACAGGGCCATTTTTATCTTATTGAGTGCTATACTATGGCATATACATTTCTACGTAACGAGACTGCAATTAGCAGCCAAAAGCCCTCTAATCCCAGACCCCTTAATTAGCTACAAACAAACATACATATAAGAATGGTCACTGAAAAATGACATACACATCATATGGACACACTATTAGGCACTCCTCTACATGTCACACCAGGCTCAGAGCTAGGAGCCAGCAGCTCATATGGCAACACACCAGCACCACACCTGTTCTTTAAGCTAGGATCACTGTTCCGCTTCTCGATTTCCTTTTCAATCCGTTGAATCTCTACCGAGAACTCGAAGAATGCCTCGACTATCTCTGCATCCCCAGACCATATTGACTGCTGCTGCCTCTCCCCAAGGTACTCCTCGTCGGGCGAGTGAGTCGACAGAGTGTCCACCACAGCCATGAACTTAGTAGCTTGAAGCAAACTAGGAAGTGCTGAGAGGAAGTACTTTTGTGGGTCGGCTTGGAAGTTTTCGTACTCAGGGTCACCCTGTTCAGGGATGTGCCTCCTCATTAAGGGAGGTCTGTTGGGCACGTACCCTCCATAAGGGTACTGCCCAAAGTTCAGCGCAGCATGCTGCGCTGAAGAGAGCCAGATGATGGTGGTGAGGATGGAGACCAGATCCTCGCTGGTCTCCAACTTGGGCCACCACTCTGCATCAGAGAGGTCAGCGTGGCCCACATTGACTGATTCGGAGTACCAGAGCTGTAGCTCCGTGTCGTTGGTGATCATGGTTGAGGTTGGGTAGTAATGGTTTACGTAGGTCCGAACCCAGTTCTCGATGGCGAACCATATCAGGAGACCATCTTGAGCATATGGGTAGTCCTCAAGTAGAAGCTTTAATCCATGTGGCTGTGTTGGGTCTGGTACTGCCATTCCCCTGCATTGATCAAATTGGGGGAGAGAGTTATAAAGTTGGAACTTTTCAAGCACAAATGGGGTGGACATAAGGCTGTGCAATAATGGGCCAAAAGTAGTCAGATGTGAGAGCTTTCAAAATCTTACACCCAAATGAAGCCAAACATTAGGTTCATGTTATAGAAGTTTGATAGTGTCCACCATGATGAAAATGGTATCTACCAAATGATATCAATAGTGTACTTTAAATGGGGCAAACATGAGGTGCAATAATGGCAAAAACCAGCCCAAAATGGGGACTCAAAACATACACCAAAATGAACAAACAAAAACTTCATGTTAAGGTGGGCGTTGTTACCTTCTGATGAGATCAGCAGGGAGGCCTTCCTTGTCGAAACGCCAAAAGTTCTTGTATGCAGCTGCACTAATGTCCATACAGTAGCGTCCAGGGGTGAAGCAAGATTCAATAACGCCATCAGCATTGATCAAGCTCTGACGGGCAAGGGCATTGATCTCGAGCGTATACCTCATGTGAGGATCCAGAAGCTTGAAGATTGGGTGCATTGCACTCATCTGCCTGTGTGCTGCCAGTATGAATGGCTCCATGCAGGCATGCGTTCGCAACCTGTAGCATTTGAAACTCTCAGCCCATCAACAAAACTAGCCACGAGAGTATGTATTCAGGATAATCAATTACTTTTATTTCAGGTCTTACCAGTGATTCACTAGCTGATGAACACCAGCATCATTGGAGCAAACATGAGACTTGGCAAGCTGCCAAATCCAATTGCTGGTTGCATCAACTGGAGGAGTAACCACGCGCTTTGTTCTCTTACATGGTCCTGAAGGTGGCAAGCTCAGCTCTATTGCAATGGGTTTAAGTGTGCCCTCGGAGGTCAAGAAGAATATGGTACGAGTTGCATATGTGTTTCTTCCATCGAGTGCGTTAATCCGGTTCAAAAATGGAAGGTAGGCATCATGGTAGTCTACTAGAAATAGCTTCTTCTCCTCCAAAGCCTGCAACAAACAAACAAACAAACAAAGGCATCCAAAGCTTAATGACTGTTCACGAAAAAATGACCCAACTACAGTACATTCACATTACTGCAGAACGTTTCTGAATCATTACAGAGATTAACGAGGTGACAATTATATTAGTTACTCCAAATTTTAGTGACAAGTTCTTTAAAAAAAGTTCAGTAACCAATATTTAACAAACCAAATTTAGTGACAGTCTATGTAATTTGATGGTACTTTCACATTAGTTCAGAAGGTTCTCTGAGTTATAGTACCTGTTGAACAGACATGCCATGGAGTTGTCCCAAGATGTGTTCTTCCTTAAGAGCAGATTCCAGAGGACCATAGGTTTCAGGATCCAGGTTGCTCTTAGGTGGGAATTCCTTGAGAAGTTCAATGTTCACTGGATTAACACCAGCAATGGCTTGGCGGGCAAATTCGTCATCTCGCAACCAGGCAAACTTGTCCTCTGACAGAGTGAGAAATCCCATGACAAATTAGCAGAAGAATCCAAAAGGTTCTATGACTTGAAGTGGGGGAAAACTATCATAGTGTCACTTATCAATTAAAAAACTATCAAATTGCGATGATTGCACGCAGCTCCTCATGTGAAAGTCTGCTATTACACTATCATACACTTCAAAATATTTGGATGAGCACATTTTTCATAGGTTCAAGCCTGGATCAAGGGACCAAGACCCTTTTCCTTTGTTTTTTTCTACAGCTGGCTGTCTTACATCAGAGTTTAATTATTTAAAAATTATGGAATGTCATGCTATGCTGGCAGGAAATGGGCGACCAGAACAATCTAGGGATCGTTTGGCAATACAAATGATTATAGGATGCAGCTAGTGGCCAGTGGCCATGCCCTTTCCCCAAGAGCAACCCGCCTGCCAAACAGACCCCTAATTCTTAGAAAATAATGTCAGCAGTGCTGTGCTGGAAATGGATGGCCAGAAGGAAAGTGAACAAAATGTTCAATCAAATCGATCACTTACTGGAAAGAATCTTGGGAGTGTCATATCTCAGAAGTCCTTCACTAGACTCTTGGAACTTGGTCACAACCCTAGGCAAAGGCAGCCTCCTCCAGATTTCGTCCTGAATCCCAACTTTGAGAAGGAGACCTTCTTTGTAGAGGATGTCAATGTCAGTGAAGGCACTGAAATCTCGATTCTCCGCAGAAATGCTGGCCTTCAGAGATGGGACCAGAGTGTGGAGAACTGCTTTCAGCCTCCCATATGAGAAAGTCTTCTGCTTGGACTCCTCGAACTGTTCATCTCTAGGCACATACATTGGGGATGGCTTCTCCACACGGCTCTCAGCATTAGAATCTGCCAAAACATGAACAAAGAATTCCATCCATCAAGGGCTTGTTTCAGGAAAAAAGGGAAGTTTATGGGCTTGTCTGAAGAACACCAAAGTTTAGGGGCCAAAATTAGCATTGAACATTATAACATCCACAGAAAAGATTTGAAGTTTTCACCAGTATAAGTTGATTCACGGCCAGTACGACACCGTCTTGGGTATGGGATCTTCTCCCCACCAAGAATTGGTCTAGCATAGTCAATGCCCTTGTCTGGATTCCCCAGATCATTGTAGATGTCATAGTCATAGATCCTATCAGATAACTTCCTGACTCCTTTGCCATCTCCTCTTTGATCTTTCAGCTCTCTTTCCCTCAAAGCTCTCAGCCCAGGTGGTGTCTCACTTGGTAGGTATGGCTGTAATCGAAGTCAAAATCAAAATCAATCACCAAAATGGAAACTTGACCAAGGAACACCAAAAAGTTGAAACCATTATCAGCAAAAATCCGGTTCGTTCTCAAAGTTAATGATACGGGGAATTTAAATAAAGTATAAGGTATATTATTTGATTAGAAGTTGGGCCCTTTTGAATTGCTTT